AGAGCTTCTGTGCATGCGCGAATACCGAAACCCGGAAATAACTCGTTCCGGTACTTCTGGGTTTCGGTGGTCTGCAACCCGAAAAAACGCAACCTGAAGTGTCTGTAACCCGAGGTATGACTGTCCGGCTTTCAATTCCTATGAGCCATAATGCGATCAACCATAATCCATCACAATCGACGTGTTGGACACGTCTGACACAATTGATTCGTATGCTGTCAGTGGGTTCTTCTTGTGTTGTTGGGTTGTGTATGTAATGAAGGGGAGCCACACTGGGGTGAAGGCATTTTTTGTCCCCATACTAGTTTCAACTAGCTTTTCTAGTAGGGCTGTTTCCCCTTACAAACACATGCGAAACTCACTTCAGCCAACTAAAATCAACCAACCATGCCCTGGGGCCCCCCATCTTTCCCAACATCAGGGTCTTTTCCAGGGAGTCTTCTCTTCTCATGAGGTGGCCAAAGTATGGGAGCCTCAGCTTCAGGATCTGTCCTTCCAGTGAGCACTCAGGGCTGATTTCCTTAAGAATGGATAGGTTTGATCTTCTTGCAGTCCATGGGACTCTCAAGAGTCTCCTCCAGCACCATAATTCAAAAGCATCAATTTTTCGGCGATCAGCCTTCTTTATGGTTCAGCTCTCACTTCCATACATCACTACTGGGAAAACCATAGCTTTCACTATACGGACCTTTATTGGCAAGGTGATGTCTCTGCTTTTTACATACATTGCACATATTCTTGGAAATAGACATTACCTTCATATTGTCCTGGGAGTGTCATGAGCTCCTCTGACATAGCAGGAGCTCTTCCACCATCTGATGCCCTGGAGAGGTATGCAGATCCCACAGGGAAATAAAGAGCCACGTGGGATAGCTCGAGAGGTAGAACTCTTCCCACCCTCCACTTCTCCACATAAATCATTGTGCAATTGCTGAACCTGCAACCAGTAAAGTCCCCGCCCCCTGGAAGTGATTTCTTAAGAGCTAATTTGGGGACACACAAGTGAAGACAATGAAATGAATAAAATTGCCAGAAGCTAAAATCTGGCGTCCTTCACTTTTTAAAGTCTCCCTCAGCATGATGGACACAACTGTGGACCTCAAGTGTCCTGCACTTTTTCTCTCTCCCTTGCTCTCTTTTGGAATAGTCCAGGAACTCAACTGCCAGGTTATCTGCTGTTGAATTTTAATAAAAACACAGCTCTGGCATAATTCTGAAGTCACAGCTCTATTTCACACCTGGAAAACTTATGCAGTTGCTCTGCTATCCAGAGGAAAGCCTCTACCTTCTCAGTGCTGTGTCCCTGTTCATTTCACCCAGCTGTGCTTTTTTCTGGGCTGGCTCTCCTTTACTGACACAGAGCCAGCAGGAAAGAAGAGGTTCCCTTACTACCCTTCTTAGTTTTCCCAACCATCTATTGTCCCCAAATAGATTCTTTTTCTGAACTTTGAAATAGGCCTCAGACAGTTGGCTGAAATACCTTTCCTAAGCAACCTTAGTGGCTAATGCTACTATAGAAGGAACTATCCTTTGAAAGATGGGGCCTGGGAGACAGGAAGAGGAGGAAGACAATGCAAGATATTACCCTCTCCAGAGGGCATGCTTAATGCTCCCATGGCGAGTTATCAAGTGACTCTTGTGTCACTAACCCCCCCAAAATGCCCTTTTATTAGTTTTCCTTTTCCTAAAGTGTAAGCAGAATCCACAGTCACTTCCCTTCACTGTTACAAAACAGTGGGTGGAGCCATAAAAATGCCCAGAAGGGCTGGCTGAAGCATTTAAATCATTCCTGATCTTAATCTTTTAAATGTTCCCTAAGACTGTCAGGGGAAAGGGACACGGGTGGCACTGTGGTCTAAACCACTGAGCCTAGGGCTTGCCGATCAGAAGGTCGGCGGTTCGAATTCCTGCAATGGGGTGAGCTCCCATTGCTCAGTCCCAGCTCCTGCCAACCTAGCAGTTCAAAAGCACAAAGTGCAAGTAGATAAATAGGTACCGCTCCGGTGGGAAGGTAAACGGCTTTTCCGTGCACTGCTCTGGTTTCGCCAGAAGCGGCTTAGTCATGCTGGCCACATGACCCGGGAAAACTGTCTGCGGACAAATGTCAGCTCCCTCGGCCAGTAAAGCAAGATGAGCGCCGCAACCTCAGAGTCGTTCACGACTGGACTTAACTGTCAGGGGTCCTTTACCTTTTTAAGACTGTCAGGGAGCATTACCAGCACAGAATGCAGATGCTGATGAGAAAGTCTACTTACATCTCCATCCACTTTCTCTCTCACTCGCTGAATGATCAAACCAAAGGAGATCGCTATGCCTCTAGAGCCCTAGTGACCAAGGAGCCAGCAGAGGGAGGTGTCACAATGAAGGGCGTGTCACAAGGACCTCTGCAACCTAGCAACCACAACCACAACCTCTGACCCTACATAGTTTGCTTATAAGGCTTTTAATCCACATATTTAAGGATTAAAGAATCCCGAGATGAACAAGACAGGCCTCGGGATGAAATGCAACACAACACCCCCTAGGACGTGACCTAAATACTTTATCTGCTTCATAGCAAACTGGCATTTAGAAGCTTTGACAGTTAGGCCAACTGACTTTATGTGTTGGAACACTATGGCTATATGTTGCAGATGTTCCTTCCAGGTCTGGCTGAAGATGGTTACATCATTGATATAAGCAAGGGCAAAATCTTTTAACCGCACCAACATCTTATCAATTAAACGTTGAAAGGTAGCCGGAGCATTCCTTAGCCCAAAAGCTAAAACAGTGAACTCAAATAACTCATCTCGAGTTCTAAAAACAGTTTGGGGTTGATCTTTAGGATCCATAGCCACTTGGCAATATCCTCTGGTTAAGTGTATAGTTGAAATGAATTGGGTGGCCTCAATTGTTTCCACCAACTCATCTACCCTTGGCATTGGACAGACATCAGGCACGGTCACTTGATTTAAACGCCTGTAGTCCACACAAAAACAAACAGTCTGGTCTGGTCTGGGAACCAGAATAACTGGGGAAGCCCAAGGGCTGTCCAATGGGATTATTAACCCCAGGTCCAGCATCTCTTGAATCTCTGTAGAGATGATTTCAGCCTGTGAACCTGTTACCCGATATGGAGGCGAAGCTACGGGTCTAGCCTCTCCAGTCTCAATTTTATGTAAAGCCAAATTAGTCTTCCCAGGGAAGTTTGAAAAGACCTGCTGGTATCCCGTAAGAACAGCTTTAACTTGCCATTCCTGTTCTTTGGTTAAATCAGGGGACAGTATCACCTCTTTCAGGGTGCTTCCTTTACTTAACCTCCCCCAACCTGTTAAATTAATTCATGGCTTTATTTCCCCACTAGTCTCTAAGACTAGGTTGCCTCGTTCATAATAAGGTTTAAGCATGTTAACATGGAAAACTTTACAATGTCCACCTTGTGGGAAGCTTTACTTTAGCAGAGTTAAACGATCCCCTTTATAAGTTTATGCAGCGATCAGCTTGTTGCTGACTCGTCTGAGTTCTACTAATAAAGATGCCTTCCTGGTTAAAACATCCCTTTGAATCCCTCTTAAAGAATACACCCACGAATCTGGGTGTTAATATAAATCTGTGTTAATATAAAACTATTTTACTCTCAGATTCATTCAGGTTTACAGAACTGTACCTGAAGGCAGGCTTAGGTTACATAACAAGCAAATCAACTATACCAGAGGGAAGTTGGTCCTGAGGTAACTGCAACTGAGCAGTTATCTTTCAAAACTACCAGCAACCGACAAACTGGTTGTCACAGCAACCGGTTAGAACATGGAGGCCGTTAGTCCTCTGTTGGAAGGTTGCACTTGACTGCATCTTTACAGCCCACACACCTTCCAAATTTAAATTAACCAAATATTTTTCATTAGAGATTCTACTAACAATACAGAAGAGACCTTCCCAGGAAACTTCCAGCTTCCTCTTCCGTCTGGGACACAGCACCAGCACTTGATCTCCTGGCTTGAACTCTCGGTTCCTGGCTCTGGCATCATACCATGTTTTCTGCTGTTGTTGGGCTTTCTGTATGTCGCTCGCTGCCAACTCCTTCAGTTCTTTAAGGTTATCCTGGAGCTCGTGTCAGTACGCCATCACATCCTGGCTCTCAATTTTTTCTTGGTCTGTCCATGCAGCTTTTAAGGTGTCCAAAGGACCACGTGGTTGTCTTCCAAACAGCAGCTCAAATAGGCTGAATCCTGAGCTTTCTTGGGTACCTCCCTGTACCCAAACAGGAAATGTTGCAACCGGGCATTCCAATCATTTGGGTGGTTGTAGGCATAAGTCTTGAGCCTATGATTCAAGGTCCCATTAACCCATCACAGTTCTCTTCTGGAATAGTCCAGTAACTCGACTGCCAGGTTTTCCGCTGTTGCATTTTAATAAAGACACCAGCTCTGGCATAATTCTGAAGTCACAGCTCTATTTCACTCCTGGAAAACTTATGCAGTTGCTCTGCTATCCAGAGGAAAGCCTCTACCTTCTCAGTGCTGTGTCCCTGTTCATTTCACCCAGCTGTGCTTTTTTCTGGGCTGGCTCTCCTTTACTGACACAGACATCAGCCTGTCTCCTTAACTGACACAGAAATAGAGCCAGCAGGAAGGAAGAGGTTCCCCTACTACCCTTCTTAGTTTTCCCAAGCATCCATTGTCTCCAAATAGATTGTTATTTTTCTGAACTTTGAAATAGGCTTCAGACAGTTGGCTGAAATACCTTTCCTAAGCAACCTTAGTGGCTAATACTACTATAGAAGGAACATCAGCATGCTGTACCTTGTCTGTCCTTTGAAAGATGGGTGTGACGTTCGTACAGAGCCCTCAGTCGTTTCACGGACTATTGACCTGTGCACCACGCAACATCCCTCCCCCCTTAAAGAACTTTGGTTCAGGATGGTTAACTGAACAGAGTTACACTTCTAATCAAACTGCATCTGACATGCACAGCAAATCAACACATTAATACTTACGTTATACATGCTCAATGTTTCCTTGTCAAACCATTACCCTTCTGAACTTTTCCCTTAGCTGCTCTGAGGTGATTCCAAATCGTGTGTAGATTAAATGTTTAAACATGTCAAAGTTTCTGGACTGGTCTTCTGGCATTTGGGCATATCTTTCTGCTAAGGTTCCACTAATTCTAGCCCTTAATATTACCATTTTTTCCTCATCCTTTGCTTGCAAATCATTGCATGCTCTTTCAAATGAGATGAGGAAAGCCTCTGGATTATCTTTCTCTTTGAATTCAGGGAACCGCTTGAGATCTACCCTAAACTGGCCTTGGTCCCTTGCGCTATTATTATTATTATTATTATTATTTTGGTTTTCCCCAGCTGCTAGTTCCAGTCTCCGCATTTCTAACTGGAATTGCATCTCTTTTTCCCTCAGACGGTACTGTTCCCTTTCTTGTTCAGCTTTGTCTCTCTTTCTAATTTAAATTTGTATTCCTGTTCCAATTTCCATTTTTCAAATTCTAAAGAGAGTTTAGGCTCTATTGCCTCAGAGGGAATTTCTAATATTTCTTCTAAAATCTGCCCCTCTTCCTGAGGATTCCCACCCCCCACCCCCTTCAGAGCTTTCATATAGTGTTTCCCTAACAAGGTTTCTAGGCTTTTTGGGTGGCATTTTGAGTGAGTGTAATTTGACAGCAAAACAGGGTCAGATAGGAGAATTATTATTATTTTTTAACCCACTGCTATTCCCTCCGGCTAGGTTTCCTTTTAGACTGTGGCCCAGAAGTCCTGCACTGGGTCTTCACACTGACCCTGCAAGCTCACTTCACCCAACCACAAGTCTAACCCTCTGCCATAATAGCTTCAAGTTCTCTTTTTGATTTATTACTTTGGCCTCACTTCACACACTGGGTTTTCCACAAATATGCCAGTATGTCTTCTCACCCCGGATAAGGTGGTCATTCTCCAATCTACCTTGCCCCTCACGGGTGTATTTATCCCACCGCTGCCGCCAATTTTGTGGCATTCGTACAGAGCCCCTGGTCATTTCACGAACTATTGACCTGTACACCACTGCTTTATTCTTCTGCTGCCACCAACCAGGTTTCTTCTGGTGAAATACTGAGTCTCAGTCAGGTTGTAATGTCAACAACAAAGATTAAAGTTGATTGAAGAACAAAGAAGTTTTAAATATGTTCAGCACGGTTTCTCAGATGTGTGCCCTTAACTAGATGTGGCACTATCTCCTTCAGTTCTATCCCTGTTTTGCACTTAACTGTCACAACCGCTAAGTTCGACTTTTACGGGCTCTGTCTCCCCTATCTCCCAATGGTAAAACCCCTGGGCTGAGCCTCAAAACCAGATAGGCTGCGCCTCTGAGCCTTCTCATTGGTCAATCTACATTAACCATTTCCATCCCCCTGTACAAACATAATCACAAGGAATGGTCAAATGCCACATCGGACCCTGGGAGACAGGAAGGGGAGGGAGAAAGGGAGGGGTAGGTCTCTGGGAGGGGTGAGACCTTACTTCTTTTCCCAGAGTCGGATAAGACTTTTCACAGTCTTGAAAGCCTAGAAAAGAAAGAAATGGGACCCAGAGCACTCTCCTGATCTGTATCCCAAGAGGAATCTACTATTATACTCATGGATTGTTCCCGGAACATATGTAGACATTTTCAATTCCAACATAAAGTTGTCCATTTTTATGCCACTGGAGGGGGGACATTAGAGCAGTCTCCACAAATTGCAGCACAAAAATTTAGAAGATAAGGACGGTACATCCATGGCAATATTTCTCTTCAGAAGTACTTACTTGTCTACCAATGTCCGAATTACTGCTAGTGTGTCAAGTACTATTCCATCCACATTACTATTTTTCCTTCTTGGTTTATGTGGCCCCCGCCAGAAGTGCCTCACTGGGTCCCTCGGGTGGCTTCTGGAGTCTGATACAGGCACTCTGCTGTAGAGGGGTGCAGGTGACGGGTGAAGAGCCACACCCGATCACCAACATGGAGTTCCAGCCCCACCTGACGGTGGTGGTCGGCCTGGGTCTTATAGGTGTCCTTGGCCTGGCGTATTTGCTCCATCAGAAGTTGCTGTTGGGATTGGAGCTCCAGCAGCCAGCCCGTCACTGCGGGAACTGCAGACACCGGCAGCATGCTTGGGAACAAACGTGGGTGGTACCCACAGTTGGCCTGGAACAGTGTCTGTTGGGTGGAAGCGTTCACTTGCATTGTTGTAGGCAAACTCGGCCAATGCCAGATAGTCGACCCAATCGTCCTGGTGAAAACTGCAGTTGCACCAGAGGTACTGCTCCAACACCACATTCGCCCATTCGGTCTGTTCGTCGGTCTGTGGATGGTAGGCCATTGATAGACAGACCTCTGTCCCAAGAGCCTGGTGTAGGCCACGCCAGAAGCGGGAGGTGAACTGAGCGCCATGAACAGAAATCGTTCTGAATGCTACCAGCATTCTGGTAGGCCATGCAGGCAAAAAGTGTCAGTGGGTTACTAGACCCAGGGGCCGCCTCAGCCTCCCCTGACCAAACTGGTAGTGGAGCAGCTGTAAGTGATTGCCCAGCTTAAGGCAATGAGGTAATCCCTGCATCTGGAGCCAGGGCAGGCTCAGGCCCCTGACTCGGCCTAGCTGGTGTTTGTTGCAGGGGAACCTGTGCAGACTGGGACTCTTCAGGATCAGGTCCCAGACTTGGTTCAGAGGCAAAGGATCCGGTGCAGACTGAGACTCCTCTGGTTCCAATATCTACGAATTTCAATAAAGTATATATATTAAAAAGGACATGCCTAGTAACCAATGAGCCGGCAGAGGGAGGTGTCACAATGAAAGGCATGTCACAATGACCTCCGCAACCTAGCAGCTCCTCTGACTCTAGTAAGTTTGCTTATATGGCTTTTAATGCATGTTCAGCTTTTTAAAAAGATGTAAAACATGCCTATTCCTTTATATTCAAGCTGCAGTTATCCCTGCACCTACTGAGCATTAATGTCATTCTATATTGCTGTATGTGTCATTGGAAACAAAGAAATCGCCCCTTGCATATTATTCATTTTATTACCATCCTTCACTAGCGGGTCCCAGGGCAGGTTACAACCATCTAAATATAAGCATTGAAACAGTTAAGACCAATTACAGTCACCAGAACAGTTTGAATTCTGAAAACACATATCTCAGGTGCCAAAGGCCAGGCAAAGAGGTGTGTCTTCAGCATATGCTAGAAACTATATAATGAAGGTGTCAGATGCACCTCTGGAAAGGGAATTCCTCAACTAAGGAGCTGCCACAGGGAATGCTCTCTCCTGGGCCACACCAAAGCTTCTAAGGGTGAGCAAGTGTGGCTGTGGGGAAGGAGGCTTTCATTCAGTGGTGTGCAGTGACATTTTTTGTAGGGGGACAGTTAGGGCTAGTTGCCTTGGGAAAACTACGCCACTAGATAGTATCCAGCAATTACAAGCTCCACCCGACTGTTGGCATACAGTGGAGTGCTTTTACACTATTTGGCAGGTAAAAGTATTAGAACAGAGCGATCACACCTTCCCAGCACCTAATCACTTTAATATGATAACATACTAATAAAACAAATGCAGTTGATCTTACCTTCATTCATCAGTTAATGCAATTCTCCTGTCTCCTTTCTGCGCATCACAGAAGCTTCCTTGACTTTGCAGTTCAGTTAGAAGAGACTTTTTGATGGATATGAGAGAAAGTTGGGAAAGCCGGTCTTTGAGTGGTTCAAATGTAACTTTTTACCCATTTTAGGCAGCCCTCTACAGTGGAAGCGGACCCGGAAATAGTTGCTAACAAAAGCCGCATGCCCCAGCAAAAACCGTCCGGCTGAAACTTAAGAGCCATAGGCTGCCCCCCCCCCAAAAAAAAACAGGAGGACTACCTGGAGAGTAATCTTATCAATGAAACAAGGCAGCATCAACCATGGACGAGACCTGCCTGCACAATGTCCCTGAAGGCATAAGATTCGGACACAAGCGGAAAGAACAATGGCTCAATTATTCTCAAGAGTTATTTATTTATTTTTAAAGCCAAAATTGAAAAGTGTTCAGCTGTGCTGCGTGCTTACTCGGCATGCCCACCCAAAAGGACCTGCCTCAGTGACACCACGTGGCTCAGTGCAACCTCCAAACAAAAGAAGAAACACTCCAGGGAGGCCGCCTGCCAGCACCACATGGCCCTGGTTTCAAAATGCAATAAGATGAACAAACGAAGGGCCCCCCGCATAAGAATCCCCACAGCCCAAATCCCAGCCTGCGTCCCCATTCGCCAAAGCAGGGTGCAGGCTAGGATCCAGTTCCTGATATGGGGGGCGGGGGCTTATGACCCCACCACCTATCAGGAAGGGCACTGACGTTCAAGTTCTCTCATCAGGGCCCCAGTGAAGCCTTCGCCATCCCGCAATGCCGTCGCACCAAGAAGATGAGCGGATTTCTCTACGGAGGGAAGCATTTCTTCAACAGTAGACGTACTGAGAAGCTGTACACAAAACATGCATCCAAGGCTGCTGTGTTCTCCCTCCCCCCAAGTCCTCCTCAACTCTTCTTAGCAACATACACACACACACACCCCCAAAAAACCCAGCTGTTTTGCCCTCCTGGGCAGGTTTGGAAGAAGGGGGTTGCTGGGAGTTCAGTCCAACAGAAGTGACTGAAAGTTAAGGATCCCCACCCCCAATTCACAGTTTTTGCTGGTAGGGATAGTTGAGGGCAGCAAGAGCCTGAAGGGATCATGGACTCCCCAGTGCTTGTGCTCTACAAGTTACATGGGTGGCACATGCTCAGTCCCTCTCCCTACTTTCTAACTAAAGAGCAGACCATGTGTTTGTGCATTATAAAGTACACAGAGAGAGTCTGTTGAAGAACCCGCTTCCCTCCACGTCTGGGCATGTGGCGCCACTGCAAGGCTGTGCCACCAACACAGCTCCAGGAGGACACGCCCTTGGATGCCTCCTGAAGATGCCCATGCAAGGAGCACAGCGGCTTGAGTAAAGCAGGCAAAAGAAGAAAGAGGCTCAGGGAGTAAGGTCCAAGAATGACTGAGAGGAGGAGAAAGAAGAGAGAGCGAGGAGGAAGGGTTTATTCTGGAAATGGAGCGCAGAGGTGTGTGCCTAATTTATCAGGAACATGGGGGACTAGGCTAGGCCCTATGGCCCAATACACTGCACTCCACTGCTTTCATTCAGAAATTTGGGGCCTGTCATTTAGGGCTTCAATACTAAAATGAACACCTCAAATTCAGCCCAGAAATGAACTAGCAACCAATGCAGCTGCTTTCTTTCTCTTTCCTTTTTAATTACTTTTTTTATTCAAAATTAAAACAAAAAATATTATCCAGAAACATATCATCCTTATTTTCCCCCAGTCTTTGATTTCTCTAAAAGTGCTGTTTTCTGCATGTTACACAGTTGTATAGATCCTCAAACTATTTAAGTAATAATTATCAATAAAAAGTTTGTGAATGTTTATTCAAAACCAGCCAAGGAGTCCAGTTCGCTTTGTTGCGTCTTCAAATACTTTCTAAAGGGTTCCCATTCATCTTTAAAGTCACAGTTATCCTTGTCCCATAGCTTGTATGTCAGTTTTGCCAGTTCTGCATAGTCCATCAATTTTTCTTGCCATGATTCTTTAGTTGGTGGTATAGTGGTGAGCATAGCTGCCTTCCAATGCAGCTGCTTTCAAACAGCAGCTATATGATCTCTAAAGGAAACCCCAGACAGTAATCTGTCTGATGCCTTTTGGACTAGTTATCGTTTCCAAGTCGCCTTCAAGGGCAGCCCTGCATGGAGTGCATTGCAATAATCCAGTCTGAAAGTTACCAGAGTAATCACAAAGTTACCACAGGTCACATGGAGGAATTGTGAATTATTATGCCATGAAGTTCCATAGACCCTGATAAAAAAAAGTTAAAGAAGCACAAATATCTGAACATGTATGTATGTATGTAAGCATGACTGAAGTAACCATCTTCCCTTTATGGAGGTGGGAGAAATTGACAATTGATGGCCTTGGGCAGATCGTGGTGAGGAAGAAAAAGCGAAGGCTCCAGAGTCTAGGAGAACTGGCCAGAGAACAGGAAATTGACAGAAAAGCATCCAGGATTCTCTGTACATTGACAGGGATTGTGGAAGTAAGTATGTGACAGGAATGTGGCTCTGAGTTGGTTTTTATTTTTATTTTTATTTTTTTTAGAGCTGGCTATTTCATTTGAGCTCTGGTTGCCCTAATGAACCAGCCTCTACTGGGGACACCTGTCTATTTTTCTAGAAAACTATTGTCTAGTTGATGCCCTTCCCTAATCCATATAAGACTGGTTAACATGGGCAGCAATCCTTACCCCACTTACCCGGGAACGAGCACCACTGAATTCAATAGGACTTACTTCTGAGCAGACATGGCTGGAATCACGCTGTTAATCATAGTAGCTATATCCCGGACTCTGCAGAAATCTATCAGTTGCCAGTTTGTACCTGTCAATAAATTGGTTATGTTCTTTTATTATCCTTCTTACTAGCAAAATAAGCCAAATTAACAGCAGGACACACATTAATTAATGCAGGAGGGTGTATGTGCATTTGTCAAAATACCCAACCTGTTTCATAAATATTATTGTCCGTCTTTGTGTGCTGTGTTTCCTATGTACAGCTAGTTCTTTTTCACCCTCCCACTCTTAAAACCAAATCTTTGGTTTGTAATTATAGTTTCAGCGTGTTGTTGGGTTATCTTTCTTTTCTTACTTATCCTTCTTATACATATATTTTACTTTGTATTATATTTAAATCATTTTAGCAGTAGGAAAAGGTCAAGTCAGGAGTTCAGATGCCATCTTTTCCCGCCATTTCAAAAATCCCACAGGCTGAGCCAAACCTGGCACTACTTTCAGTATAGCTAGTCCATTTGCAGAGAATACCTTTCTGTAGCTTTCTCTGTCTATTATTAGGTATTATTAGGCATGCTATTATTAGGTGCTGTTAGAGCTGGAAGTAGAAATCCCTGGCTCTTGTGAGCCCCTGAGCTTCAGATTGGTGATTCTCTCTAGGCATCAAAGAATTCACAGGTACCAGATCGATTCCACTTGCCCAGTTTCATCATTGGCTCTCTTCAATAGGAAAAGCTATAAAGTCTTCAGGCTGGGACAGATTAACCTGAGCCGTCAACAGAAGGAAACGACTGGCTTTGGGGTTACTCACTGATCTGATCTCTCCATGTTCACTTGTGGATCCCACCCCACAGCTGTCTACAACTCAACTTTAAGGGTAGAACAGAAATTCGATTCAGTTCAAATTTAAGCACAAATCTACCTAATTCACACTAGAGCACAATACAACCATCCTTTGACATTCTTGCTTCTCTGAATTTTTCAGTCAGTACAGTTCTCCAGCCAAGTAATGTGTGTGAAAATGCATGTATTAGTCAAAGTACTGTACAAACAAGTGTTCCTTTAGCTGTTGCTTTAGTGGAAACTGCTTTGCAAAAATGTATATATGTTAGGCAGAATTGCAGACAAGCATTTATATATTAGGAGAAATCAGCCCTAAAATGCCAATGTATCTTCATAAGGATTTTTTAAAAACAAAAAAACCTGATGTGGAAATGTGGAGAACTGAATTTAAGGTTATAAAAACAAAACACTAAGATAAATTGAAATTGACAGGAGCTAGCTAGGGCGGGGGGTGTGTGTTTACACTCTTGCCCCTGCAGCCAGGGGGGCCTGGCTTAATAGACTACATTATAGTATGAAAATAACTTTTATATGCACTGGGAAACAAACAAAAAAATGTGTGACTCTGTTGTGATAATCACTTTATTGTGGTGGTCTGGAACCAAACCTCCAATATATATGAGGTATGTTTGTATATGTAAATGAAATTTGTAAATGTTAGAGTAATTTTGGTAAACCTGTATGTGATAGTATGTATTGTGTTAAATATGTAGGTAAATACATTAGATTAGAGTTAGGTTGGGAGTGGAAATGTGCCCCCACTTTAGGTGCAGAAACAATATTGTTAGGGGAGCACTTTGTTTTACAGTAGCATCGCTGATATTCTTGGCTACACACAACCATTGCAGCTGTGCTATTTCCTTCAGAATTCCCTACATCTTTCATCTGCTAATATCTTTTCAGGAAATATTGAAAACCAGTTGTGAGTGGAAAGCTAATTCACTTTGGTGCCTAGTTGAAAATACTGTCCTCCTTCAGCTGACATAATCTCAGCCAGCCTATTTCTTGAATCATTTTAGCCCTGAAAAACTCTGGTACATGGAACACTTTTGTAGCACCAGCATTACCAGGTTGAAAGTAATACTCTCAAACAATCATATTTTTGCCTGCTTCGCCCAAAACTTGCATGGAATTTATTTAAGAGTTGAGGGGGCTTTGATTTCCAACCCTGTAAAAAGCACCCTCTAGACAGATTTTTCTTTTCTCAGGAGAGCGGCAAACAAACACAAAACTATTCACATATTCAAAGTGAGGGGAATGATTTATGCAGCCACTCTGAATTGGCTTTGCGACATTGTCACATGTCCAAATCTAATTGGCTACATGGTACCAGGGTGTACTACTTAATTCCTCATTGGCTGGGCTCACAAAGACAGCATGAAGAAAATGACAGTGTTTTTAAAATTGCACTAAAGCTGATGTCAAGGTGGGGGTGAGCAGTGAGACAGAGGATTGGGGAACATTCAAACTCCTTCCAAACCCCTTGACTGCTACAAAAATATTTCCTGGTGAACATTGAGGTCAGCAGTAATAATTTCCCTCTTTTATCCTCTTGTGACTATCCCAGGGCGAGTCCAAGATATTTTGGTACCTGAGGTGAACCACAAAATGGTGCCTCCTTCCCCAGGGAAGAAAGGATGAGTGAAGATCTACATCAGGAACATGGGGTGAGGGGGGATAAAAATCTACATCAGAATCTGTTGCACCTGTGAATCTTGCCACCTGAGGTAGTCTGCTCACCTTGCCACATAGAATCATAGAATCATAGAGTTGGAAGAGACCACAAGGGCCATCGAGTCCAACCCCCTGCCAAGCAGGAAACACCATCAGAGCACTCCTGACATATGGTTGTCAAGCCTCTGCTTAAAGACCTCCAAAGAAGGAGACTCCACCACACTCCTTGGCAGCAAATTCCACTGTCAAACAGCTCTTACTGTCAGGAAGTTCTTCCTAATGTTTAGGTGGAATCTTCTTTCTTGTAGTTTGGATCCATTGCTCCGTGTCCGCTTCTCTGGAGCAGCAGAAAACAACCTTTCTACCTCCTCTATGTGACATCCTTTTATATATTTGAACATGGCTATCATATCACCCCTTAACCTCCTCTTCTCCAGGCTAAACATGCCCAGCTCCCTTAGCCGTTCCTCATAAGGCATCGTTTCCAGGCCTTTGACCATTTTGGTTGCCCTCCTCTGGACACGTTCCAGTTTGTCAGTGTCCTTCTTGAACTGTGGTGCCCAGAACTGGACACAGTACTCCAGGTGAGGTCTGACCAGAGCAGAATACAGTGGCACTATTACTTCCCTTGATCTAGATGCTATACTCCTATTGATGCAGCCCAGAATTGCATTGGCTTTTTAGCTGCCGCGTCACACTGTTGGCTCATGTCAAGTTTGTGGTCAACCAAGACTCCTAGATCCTTTTCACATGTACTGCTCTCAAGCCAGGTGTCACCCATCTTGTATTTGTGCCTCTCATGTTTTTTGCCCAAGTGCAATACTTTACATTTCTGCCTGTTAAAATTCATCTTGTTTGTTTTGGCCCAGTTCTCTAATCTGTCAAGGTCATTTTGAAGTGTGATCCAGTCCTCTGGGGTGTTAGCCACCCCTCCCAGTTTGGTGTCATCTGCAAATTTCATCAAGATGCCCTTGAGTCCATCATCCAAGTCGTTGATAAAGATGTTGAATAAGACCGGGCCCAAGACAGAACCCTGTGGCACCCCACTAGTCACTCTTCTCCAGGATGAAGAGGAACCATTGATGAGCACCCTTTGGGTTCGGTCAGTCAGCCAGTTACAAATCCACTGAGTGGTAGCATAGTCAAGACTGCATTTTACCAGCTTCTTTACAAGAATATCATGGGGCACCTGGTCAAATGCCTTGCTGAAATCAAGGTAGGCTACATCCACTGCGTTCCCTTCATCTACCAGGCTTGTAATTCTGTCAAAAAACGAGATCAGGTTAGTCTGACATGACTTATTTTTCAGAAATCCATGCTGACTATTGAGTGATCACAGCATTCCTTTCTAGGTGCTCACAGACTGTTTGCTTAATGATCTGCTCCAGAATCTTCCCTGGTATTGATGTCAGACTGACTGGGCGGTAATTATTTGGGTCCTCTCTTTTCCCCTTTTTGAAAATAGGAACAACATTTGCCCTCCTCCAGTCTGCCGGGACTTCGCCTGTTCTCCAGGAATTCTCAAAGATGACTGCCAGTGGTTCTGAGATCGCATCTGCCAGTTCTTTTAATACTCTTGGATGCAGTTCATCTGGCCCTGGAGACTTGAATACATCTAGACTAGCCAAGTATTCTTGTACTATCTCCTTAGTTATTCTGGGCTGTGTTTCCTCTGCTGAATCATTTGCTCCAAATTCTTCAGGTCGGGCATTGTTTTCTTTATCTGAGAAGACTGAGGCAAAGAAGGCATTGAGGAGTTCAGCCCTTTCTGTGTCCCCTGTTTGCATTTCACCATCTTCTCCTCTGAGTGACCCCACTGTTTCTTTGTTCTTCCTTTTGCTACGAACATACCCATAAAAGCCTTTTTTGTTACTTTTAACCTCTCTAGCAAGCCTGAGTTCATTCTGTGCTTTGGCTTTTCTGACTTTGTGTCTACACGTGTTGGCTATTTGTTTGAATTCCTCTTTGGTGGTTTCCCCCCTTTTCCATTATTTGTACACATCCTTTTTAAATCTTAACTCAGTTAAAAGTTCTTTAGAGAGCCACCCTGGCTTCTTTAGGCACCTTCCATGTTTCCGTCTCATTGGTATTGCCTGAAGTTGTGCTTTTACTATCTCCCTCTTAACAAACTCCCAGCCATCATGAACTCCCTTTCCTTTTAGTATTACTGTCCATGGGATCTCACCCAGCACTTCCCTAGGTTTTATGAAGTCGGCTTTCTTAAAGTCAAGAAATTGAGTCCTAGTATGCTTGGCTGCTCCTTTCTGCTGTATAGTAAACTTCAGAAGAGCATGATCACTCACGCCTAATGATCCTTCCACTTCTACCCCACCAACCAGGTCATCAACATTGGTTAGGACCAGATCTAAAATGGCTGTTCCTCTTGTTGCTTCTCCCACCTTCTGGACAATGAAGTTCTCTGCAAGGCCAGTGAGGAATCTGTTTGACCTTATGCTCTTGGCTGAGTTTGACATCCAACAAATATCCGGGTAATTGAAGTCCCCCATTACCACTATCTCCCTTCCTTTTGCATGCTTGGCCATCTGTTCCAGGAAGGCATCATCTATGTCCTCCGTTTGGCTTGGGGATCTATAGTAAACTCCCACAATGATGTCACTGTTATTCTTCTCTCCCTTAATTTTGACCCAAATGCTCTCACTTTGGCTTTGAGGTTCTAAATCTTGGATCTCTTCACAGGTATACACATCCCTGACATATAACGCCACTCCTCCTCCTTTCTTGTCTGGTCTGTTTCTCTGAAATAGATTGTATCCCTCCATTAATACATTCCAATCGTGGGACTTATGCCACCAGGTTTCAGTGATGCCTATTACGTCATATTTAGTTTGCTGTACCAAGAGTTCAAGCTCATCTTGTTTATTTCCCATGCTTTGCACATTAGTGTACAGACATTGAAGTCCATTAATCATTCCCCCGTGTCTCTTATTTAAGGATTTTTCCTCCCACCACTAGGTCTGCGTGCTGTTTGCTCCATTTGGTCTATGACATTTGGATGATCATCTTCATCAATTGATAGACTCCTACCTTCAGGAGCACTGTCTCCCTCCCCCACATTAGTCAGTTTAAAGCCCTCCTGATGAGGTTTCTGAGATTTTTGGCAAAAACATTCCTCCCAACCGTTGTGAGGTGCAGCCCATCGCTTGCCAGAAGTCCATCTTCAAGAAACTGCAGTCCGTGATCTAAGAATCCAAACCGTTCCTGTTTACACCATTTGCGAAGCCAGCTGTTCACTTCCACTATTTTTCCCTCTCTCCCTGGGCCACGTCGTTCAACTGGGAGGACAGATGAGATGACAAGTTGTGCATTTAATTGCTTCAATTTCCTGCCCAGAGCCTCGTAGTCTCTTTTGATCTTCTGGAGGCTATTGCTTGCAGTGTCATTGGTTCCCACATGAACCAAGAGGAAGGGGTATTTGTCAGTGGGTTTTATGATTCCTTGCAGTCGTTCAGTTACATCTTGGATCTTAGCCCGGGGAGACAGCACACTTCCCGAGACATCTTGTCAGGCCCACAGATCACTGCTTCTGTTCCCCTCAGTAGGGAATCCCCTATCACCACTACACGCCTCCTCTTAGGTCTGGTCGGGGTTCTTCCGTGAGCTGTCCGTTCCAAGGTCGCCTGCACATTCCCTGAGGACTGACTTTGCTGACTATGCATCCATACTCTTATTACGTATGATGTTCACTATAAACATGACTATGCATCCATACTCTTATTACGTATGATGTTCACTATAAACAAATACTGTCATACTGTGAGCATTGATGAGTATTTCCAAACATATATACACATATACATATATCCACATGTTGTGTTCATTCCC